AGATAACGTAGAAGTTAAAGTTAATCAAGGAGTCACAGCTAGAATCTTTCCCAAAGACTCTACAACATAATGAGTAATTGTTGATCATTTTGAGAAATTGGAAATAGAATTTCATACTTACCAAATGAAGGAAGATAAGCCTCATAGAATAGTGGTTAAGGGGCTTCATCATAGCACATTAATCAGCGAAATTGTTGCCAATTTTAAAACATTTGGCTTTGAAGTTCTTCAGGTGCATAGCCCAAAGTCAAGGACTAACCGAGATGAAAAACTCAACATATTTTTTATTAATATAAATCCATGCGCAAAAATAAATTATATATACGATATAGAAACACTTTGTCGTCAACGGGTTAAAATTGAAAGGATGCGCAAAACATCAGAAATTGCTCAATGTATAAGATGCCAGGAACACATATGGCCACACAGCTAAGTACTGTCGTCGACATCCCTTTTGTGCTCGATGTGGCGAAGATCATCATACAAAGCAATGCCCTCGGCCCCTAGATCAACCGCCTACTTGTATGCACTGTGGTGAGAATCATACGGCAAGCTACAAAGGTTGCCAGTGGTTTTCAAGATTTCCTTAGACGATCTTTGGGTCCCCCAAAGAAGCAAACAACACGTCAACCACAAGAAAAACGTGAGCAACATCAATCAACAGTCAGTCAACAGCAACTCACTAAGCACATGCCTAACACTTTTGCAACCGATACCGGAGGTTTATCTTATGCCTTAATAGTCACAAACGGAAATGGACCTGCCCAGCGCCGTCTACATGACCTCCAAGCGCAGCAACAATTACAGAGCTTGAATAAAAATGCTGTACAACAACAACATGTTCTCGACGTCCAGTCAATATTAGAGCAACAGCAGCAGCAATTTTTAAAATGGCAACAACAGCTCCAGCAACAGCAGCAGCAGCAATTTCTTTTGTGGCTACAGGAGCAGCAGCAGGAACAACAGCAACAAAACAAGAAGAACAGCCAACGACTTGAACGGCTCGAAAATATGGTTTTTGAAATGGCCAACTCAATCAAACCATGGATGGGGGATAAATCAGTTCCCCAGCGCCACAACAACGTTTCAGCCTCACAATGAACCATCTTAGGATCCTTATCTAGAATGTCAATGGCATTTCCGGTAAAGCCAAAGAAGTTTAACTCTTTGCACACAACAACCGTATTGATATTATACTCTTAAGTGAGATAAGGCTTAATCGAGGAGAAGTAGTCAAATTATATGGATATTCCTTCTATCCAGCGTATAAACCATCACGGCATTGGAGAATCGGCGGTATTGGTGAGAAGCTCTCTTAGTCATTTCCCACAAAGTGTTATTGAAACACAAAACATACAAATGTATTCCATTAAAGTTGCCACAGGCATGGGATTTATGGATGTACGAGCAATATACTGTCCTCCAAGGCACAGAATCGAAGAAAGGCATTTCACGGACATACTCGCTTATTGTGGTCAGAGGTATCTGATTGGTGGCGATTAGAATGCTCGACATTGGATGTGGGGCGACACTTACAATTTACCCAGAGGACGTGAGCTAGTCGAATCTATCTCAGCTAAAGTGGCTAAAATTCTTGCCACTGGTTCACCATCTAGATACCAATATGTATCCAGTCACACAGCTACTTGCATTGATTTTGCATTATACCATGGGATACTGGATTTTCAAATAAATGCTGCTACTGCTTTAACGCCACCTGATCCTGATCATCGTACTATAAGTTATGGCATTGTACCCACAAGGGAAGCCAGAGAGTTGATCCAAAGAAAAAGACGACTTCGGAGAGGAGCAATTCGTTCTCAAGATCCAGTGGATCGAATTTTATGGAATTACAAACCCTTTTAAGCGAACTTCGCAACGACTTCTTCGAGCATAAATTGTCCTCCATGGACTACACCATTGACAAGAAATACTCTTTATGGAAATGCACAAAATTGCTGAAACGACAACAGGTTCCCATCCGATGTCCGGGTGGCGAATTTGCAAAAAATGAATTGGAACAAGCCAATCTAAGGTAATATCTTGGCATTACCTTAGATAAGCGCCTTACCTTGGGCCAAATTTTAAAGCCACGGCTAGAAAATGTAAACTGAGAACCCAGCAACTGCGTTGGCTTATACACAAAAAGAGCAAATTACCGCTTAGAAGCAAAAGAGCGGTATATCCGCATTGTATTCTGCCAATTTGGCTTTATGGAATACAGATTTGGGGAATCTCAGCCAAATCCAATTACAAACGAATCCAGGTGTTGCAGAACCGGATACTAAGGAATATATCAAACTGTCCCTGGTATGTGCGCGGGACAACTGTTCATAAAAATCTGAAGCTACATACTGTAGAAGACCAGATTGGTAGGCACACAAGCCAATATAGTGAAAGACTCTTAAGACACCGCAGCCTACTTGCTAGAAACCTACTTCCAGCTAGACCTTTGAGATGCCTCAAAGAGAAAAAAAAAATAAATAAATAAATAAAAAAAAAGTGCGTTTCTAAAAAGGACCCGGTAGTTTGATCTGAAGGACCGCCTCTGGAGCGTCCAACAGCCCAAGGGGAAAGGGGAGCTGAAGAACGAGCTAAGAAAGTATCCGTTGCAGGATTGTTCCTCTAAAGCCCAACGTATCAGAGTCGAGCTCGGCCATTCCCAACCACGGCAGGTAGCCTTGCCACGAAGCGAGTAAGGGACAAGTTTGGCGGACCAGTCAAGAAATTCCCAATCCGGATTCCTTCCTAGGTGTAGTAGAGGCGCCACGAACGGTGTGTTCCAAGAGGTAGGAAGGCTGGAACGAGTGGATTCCACAGCGCGACAAGTTAGGTTCAAGAAATTTTTCGCGAGACAAAGAATGAGGGATATCCGAGTGCTAGAGTGCTTGGCTGATGTGCGGAATGAAACAAGCTCAAATCAGGCTCGAGACATAAACTTTTTTTTTCAATAGTAAATTTATAAAAAAAATTAATTTTATAAAGGGTTTTGCATAAAAGAATTGAAAGAATCTGAAATATATTAGGTTTAAGTTTGTATTTTGCTTATTATTTTTGGGTTTTGGTTATTAACAGACTTAACTGTTATCAAAAATATTCATCTTAGTTCTCCGGTTCGAAATTCAATTATAATTAAAAACTATCATCGAAATCCTGTTCATTGTGTTCCTAAAGCCCTCCTTCACTTAAAAGCATTTCCAAAACTTCATAAGGAAGTTTAATTTTATCTTGCCTTCGAAGGTGTCTTTCAAGGTTGACAGAGGAAATAGTCAGATCTGATGTATCCGTTGCTCGACGAAAAACATCACAAAGATTATACTTTTGGTCTAATTCGATTTGAATGCGATCTGATTTATAGAGCGTGTTCGGGCCGGCTTCAGTTCCCTCCTCTTTAGGATACCCCACAGGAAGAAACAATCGCTATCTATAATATTGCTTGAATACACAAATATTATGTATACCCTGTTTGCGTGCGGCCATGCAAACTGTCTGAATTAATAAACTTGTATTTCCTCCTTCAGACAACACAAGATCTAATGCAGGACGTCCTATTGAATGTCTTTTCCATCAAAAGGTATGATTTGTAATACCTTTACAGTTGGTTCTTCCATTTTGCCGCTTAGCAATTTCTAGGCAAATTTTGTAGACGATTTTCTATGTATAACTATGAAGACACCACAACAGATTTGATGATTTCATTACACACAACACATAGTAAAAACCCCACTGAATAATATTCATGGCAAAAGATTTATTGTTTTTTTTCCAAAAATATGAAGTTGACTACTGATTTATAGAAATGAGGTTGGACACTTGGTGTTAATCGATGGAATAAAGCATTTTTTAACAAGAAAATGACTCAAAGCACACGTCTCTGTTGGTAAAAATTGGATTTCAAACCAAAGGTAAAGTAGGTGAAATTATGCGTGAAGATCTTTTGCTGTCGGCCTGTGTTGTACACATAATTGAACAATTATTAATTGCAGGAAGAACTAACGTGATAGGATAACTGTGAGTACAGGAAGAGAAACAACTTTTTTTGAAAAATAAAATGTTTGTTTTTAAAATATTATTAAATGAAATATAATTTAATTGTTTATAAAATATTTATTTTTGTTTATTAAATATTAATTTAACGTATTTTTATAATATAAAGAACAAGAAAGGAAAGCTAACTTCGGAAGGAGCCGAAGTTTATATACCCTTGCAGTTAAAACCTGATATATATCGTAAAAATCGGATATAGTTGGCCGACCATTATGAGAATATCATAAAATAACCAATTTATTACAGTACAAAAATTAAAAAAAATTCCCAAACTTCTATTTTCAAAGAAACCAAAGTTGTAATTTTTCCTAAACACCAAATACAATTTCCGATCAGTTAAATAAGATATAGTCGGTCGATCCTTATGAAATTTGATATGTTTTATTATTTTGTTTAAAATAGCACTCATGCAAAATGCAAAATGCAAAACTCATGCAAAACTCTCCAACTCTAAAAATGCCAATGTTATACCATTTCCGATCAATTAGTTATATGGCAGCTATGAGATATAGCCGTTCCGACTTATATACTGCGTGCAATGGAAAGAAGAGTGTGTGTAAAGTTTTAAGTCGATAGCTTTAAAACTGAGAGGCTAGTTTGCGTAGAAACAGGCAGACAGACAGACAGACGAACATGCTCTTATCAACCCAATAGATGATCCTGATCAAGAATATATATACTTTATAGGGTCTGAGATCTCTCCTTCACTGCGTTGCACACTTTTGGAAAAAATAATAAGAGTCTGCAAGAGTATAAGGATAACACGAAATACGCGCATAGAACTTAAGAAGCTTCCTGTGTAAATGAACCATGTAGTACAAAACTTTCTATTTGCATTTCTATACATATAATTGTTTAAATTATTTCCGTATTGCTAACTTATATCTACTTACATATGTCTATACCACACGTACTTATATACTTATATACATAAGAAGGTAAATTTGAGTTTCGTGCTTTAAAAATAAAAATAATGTTTTATTAATATATGTTTTTTATTAAAGATAATTAGTTTTACATGCATGAAACAAATGAGCGAAATGCAGCAAATTTTAAAAGAAGGATTCTGTATAAGGAAGTCTAATAAACTTCAATAAAAATTTTAACTTGCATCTTGATGTGTCTGTATTAGCTTAAAATAATTCAGTAATCTTCAATTCTTTTGCGGAAGTCCTAATATTACTTATTTGGCTAAGAAGAAATTCCTTTCGAAAGGAAATGGTAAGATTGTGAATACAATTAGTTTTTTTGTTCCATTTTTAAGTAACTGGCTTTCAATTCTATGTCTATATCATAAAGCTATAGGTTTTTATGTTATGAGAGATGAGTAGTAATGGGTTCAGTTGGAGTTGGGGAAATTGGCATAAATCCATTATTTTCATTCAGATTCATCGATCGATTGGTCAGCGGGTCGTCTCTACGTTCCACAATCATTTTTTGTCGGTTTTGATACAATTTTTTTCTCAACTCTTGTAATTTTCCATTAGCAGTCTGAACGTTTTGAAAGTGAAAAGTATGATGCTTACGCAATGGTAATCTTATTGGCCGTCGCACCACCATGCAATCATAAGCCCCATCAAGATTAAGCTCAGATACATTTTTTGTTATAGACTCTTTCGGAATTGACTGCAAATTGTCTATAGATAAGAAAGGAATTATCAGATTTGTTTGAAGTCTTTCACGGGGTAACATTATTTTACAATGATCTTTATTATCAATGGTTTCGATCTTACTGCTGTTAGTTATTAAAGAGTTTCCAGTGCTTCTAATTTTCTCCGATGATTTTTTTAATTTTTGTAACTGTGTTAGTGTGTATGGATCACAAATGGTAAGTCTTCTGTATTTCCTTCTTAATTTTTTGCGGATACAGATGTCGTTGTATTCAAAAAATTTTCGAAATTTCGTTCTCTAGCAATGTAGAAAAATTGCATGCAAATAAAATAAGAAAAAGTATTTGATATTTAAATATTTAACGTACATAATGATTTTAGAAAGCTAAGAAATATAAATGTCAAAATGTTTTGAAAAAAAAATTACCAGGTTAACACCAAAGAAAAGCTTTCAATTCTTCACAAAAAAATAGCATTTGAAGTTGTCTCCCAAAATGCGTTTTCCAAAAATGGGAATATGTATTTATCCAAAAAAATTACAGCTTGATCAACTTGAAATTTTGCACACACCCTTTGTTTTAACTCCTTCGAAATTGACTGAAAATTGTCTATAGATAAAAAAGAAATTATAAGATTTGTATGAAGTCTTTCACAGCGTAATATTCTTTTACAATGATCTTTACTATCAACGGTTTCGATCTAATTGGTTGGGTTTCGTTGTTTCAAATAAAACAAGAAAGGACGGCTATAGTCGAGTTTCCAAAATATGTCATACCCGGTACTAATCTCTGCCACTCCTACTTTAACTAACCTTTAAACTTTAAAGCAGTGGTGGACAAACTTTCATTTTCCATAGCACGAGTAGGGTTAGAAATTCAGCCGCAGCGCTACCGGCACACTGACATTGCTATTGCTCATGCATACAGAGTTGCGTGAAACTGCTCACGCCATAAGGTTCGTTGCTCAAGCCATAAGCTTCGTTGCTAACTCCATAAGGCAAACAAAATTCTTAGAATCTCTCTCTCTCTGCTCTCTCAGCTCTTAGGCACCAGCAAAAACAAACATTTTACAACATTTTACAGCACCTTGTCGTCAAGGGCAATACAAATGCAATTTGTTATTGTTTTCAAGTGGCCAAAGACAAAGACAACTCTTATGCGTGTGCAATAGAGATGGAGATGCAATATTGCCTTCTAAGGCAGGTCTCTTGCCTACACTAAGATTGAGCTCGACTGCACTTCTCAGTGAGCAAGCGTGGCGCGCGGTTGATGCTTATTTTTAGCGGAAAAATGCCTGAGCATTTCGAGACCCTTTTCTTTGCACGAAACTTTAAATGCGAATTGCAGTGCATAATTTCCAAAAAGGGTTTGATTGACAGAAAATATAATCTTGAGCGACATTTCCGGTTATGCCATAGGGCGGGTGTCGTGAATAGACTGATTCCAGACCACAAAGCCTTTCTTCAAAAATTTTACATCGATGATGATGAAGAAATCTTTGCTTTGCTTATGTTTATTGTTTACTATATTTTTTTTTTCCTTATTACTCCTCTTGGGAGCTTAGGGCCTCTACAAGGGCTCTCCACCTAACTTTATTTTCCGCTGTTTGCTTTATTGTGTCCCAGCTGATGTTCTTTCGGGATATTTCTAGGAGTGCTGTACGGCGCCAGGTCATCTTTGGGCAACCCACTCTTCTGCTTCCTTGTGGGTTCCATTCCAGAGCCATCCTTACGATGCTTCCTGGTTCCTTCCTCAAAGCGTGGCCAATCCATTTCCATTTCCGTTTCTTTATTTGTTCCTGGATTGCAACCGCTCCTGTGCAGTGCCATAAGTCCTCATTGGATATTCTATCTGGCCAGAATACCCCAAGTATTATTCTTAGGCACTTATTGATGTAAGCCTGCAACTTCATCAATATCCTTTGAGTGGTCAGCCACGTCTCCGATCCGTATAGCAGTATGGATTTTACACACGCGTCGAATATGCGCAGCTTTGTTTTTCTGTTTATCTGCTGGTTTCTCCATACTCGGTGTAGTCTTCCAAATGCAGACCTCGCTTTGCGCAGTCGGTTCTCCACATCACTTTCCACTCCACCATTTGATGTTATGATAGTACCGAGGTAGGTGAAGCTGTTCACGAAGTCGATGGTATTATCTCCGATTGTGATGTTGTTTGTGTTGGAGTTGTTGATCCGCATAGCTTTTGTTTTTGATGCGTTGATCTTTAAGCCTACTGCGCTGGCTCGGATCTCGAGGTCCCTAGCTTTGGCTTGAATGTCTTCGAATTTGTCATTCGCGTAATCCAAGTCTTCTAGATGTCGGGTGAAGTTCCAGGTGATTCCGCGTCTGTTCATGCATACTTCTCTCATGATTTCGTCGACTACCAAGTTGAACAGAAGTGGTGATAGAGGACATCCTTGCTTGACGCCTGTGTTCGTCTGGAAGGGTGCACTAATTTTCCCGTTGTGCAGTACCGCCAGCTCAGCATCATCATACATAGCATTCACTATGTTTATGATTTTCACTGGCAATCCCTTTCTTGCAAGTGCCCTCCATATCGCTGCTCTGTCTACCGAATCGAATGCCTTCTGGAAATCTATGAACAGGAGGTACAGCGGCGAGCGCCATTCCACAGTTTGTTCGTATATTGCGCGTAGTGTGTTTGCCTGGTCTACGCAGCTCCTGTGTGGTCTGAAACCTCCTTGTTCATCTCGTATTGTTGGCTCTATTTTTTCCTGAAGACGTTCGTTTAGTAGAGTGGCTAGTACCTTGTAACTTGTGTTCAAGAGGGTAATGCCTCGCCAGTTGTTGCAGTCACTGAGGTCTCCTTTCTTCGGTAGCTTAATGATGATTCCTTTTTTCCAGGATGTTGGGATCCGCTCACTTTCCCATATATTATTGAAATGTGGATGCAGTGTTTCGGCCATTAGTTGCGTGTTAATCTGGAGAAGTTCGGCCGGTATGCCGTCATCTCCAGCCGCTTTGTTGCGTTTTAATTTCCTGATTGCATCTTTTATTTCTCTAATTGATGGTGCCGTGGGTGATATTCTGAGGTTATTGCTCGGTACAATACTCCTGAAGTTATCTTGCGTGCTGCTCGGTTGTTCTGTGCAGCTGATGGAGTTGTGCCTCATCATCAGTAAAGAGTCTTCCATCTGGGTGCCGCACTGGTTGGGTTCGCCTATGGCAGCTTCCGGTCAGTTGACTAATTATCTGGTACAGTGAGCGCATGTTGTTCGTGTTGGCTGCGCTTTCTGCATTTTCAGCGAGCCTGTCCAGAAATTTTCTTTTGTCGTTGCTTGCTGATTTCTTCACCATCTTGCACAGCTCTTTGTGTTCGTCATGGTCTGCTTTCGACTTTAGGCTGTTCCGTTTGCTGATAAGTTTCCAAGTGTGCGCTGATATCCAATCCGTGCGCCTGCGTTGTCGGGTGCCAAGCATCTCCTCCGCGGTGCTCCTCAGTATACTGCATGTTTGAGTCACTCAGCCGTTGTACGTTAATGGGAGGCGGTCTTCTTGTGGTCCTGTTGACAGTGTTGCTATTTCGTCTGAGCTTGATTAAAAGCTTTCCGATTATCAGCTCGTGGTCACTGTCGATAGACGCACTTCTCCTATTCCTAACATCCATCATCGAGCGTCTCCATTTCCTACTTATGCAGATGTGGTCGATTTGGTTGCGAGTATGTCCATTCGGAGAGGTCCATGTGTATTTATGGATCTCCTTGTGAAGGAATACATACAGTGCCACCAATAACCAGTTGGAAGGTCTGACATAAGTCGATTAGCCTGTCACCATTATTGCTGCGTGTGCCAACACCATGTCGGCCCATGATTGTTTCCAATCCGTTGTTGTTGGGGCCGATTTTCGCATTGAAGTCTCCCATGAGAATTTTTATGTCACCTCTTTCGATCCTAGTGAGTGAGGATGTGAGGGCGTTGTAGAAGTCGTCTTTGATGTCATCGCTGGCGTCTTCTGTTGGGGTATAGGTGATGGTGATGTGTCTAGCATTGCATCGGAATCTGGCAATGATGATTCTGTCGGATACTGGGCTCCAGGAAATTAGTGCCTGTTTGTACTGTTTGGACACATATATCCGGACTCCGCTCCTGACTCCATCATTGGTCCCGCTGTGCATCACTAGATTGCCGCTTGATGTTGTTGTTGTCCCGTTGCCTCTCCATCTCATCTCACTCATGCCTGCGATTGCGATCTGCTTTTTCTCCATTTCTCCTTCAAACTGCGCCAGTCTGGTTGGTTCCATTAAAGTCCTCACGTTCCATTGTCCAATTCGTGTCCGTTTCGATATGCGAATGGTCGTCAACGGGTTGGGGGGGTGGTTGGTTTCTTCTCTTCTTGTATTAGTTTCGTTAATCAGTTGTTATTCGGCTGATCCGGTGATTAGCCAGGTGCAACCTATCCCAGAGGTGGGGCTGCCACCCCTGTCGATATCTGGGAATACCGTTTTTCGACCTCACATGTTTAGTAGCATCGGAAAAGAGACCACTAAGCATAATGAAGCCGAAAAACTTTGGAGGTCATGATTGCCATGAGTGGGGTTCGAACCCACGACCCAACGCTTAGCGTGCAGCTACACTACCCACTAGGCTATGGGCCCCCCTGTTTACTATATACTTATATTTAAAACTAAAAAGATGATCGGGAGATGAAAGCGGCAAAGTCTCTGCAGTGGCGGCGGACGAAGCTAACGAAACTTATTGAGGGGAGAGTGTGTCTCCTGGAGATGTACTCCCGTAATATCAATACTCGCCTGAGTTATCGAGTTTTGTCGATCACGAGAACTGAAAGGGGTTGCCACAGTACCCCCCTCCTAGAGTTCCAGTTGGGAAAGATACTTTGCTGGGAATCTGATTTGTCGTCCTGATCTTGACACTTTCTCGAGTGTCTGAGCAGTTGGCGCTGTCGTCTGCTCCTGTGTTGGAGGCGGTACGTCTTTGAAGATGTAAGATGGTTTAAGTCGATCTATGGAAACCTTGTTGTCCTTTGTGTGGCCCTTGAGTGTAAAATATTTGTCGTGTTTTGTTACCACTTCGAAAGGACCCTCGTAGTTTGCTTCCTACGGGGTTTTCACTCGATCCACTCGAACGAAGACGTGGGTACAATGGTTTAGGTCCGGGTGGACAAATTCTTGCGGTGTATGATGGTGCACTGGCTTAGTGGTTGGCAGTTGAGAATTGTTTTTTTGAAGAGCTACGGTGAACTCGGACTCAGTGTGTTTTTTCGTGCTCGGTGCAAAAAATCCGCCTTGCACCCGTAGTGTCGTGCCATAAACCATTTCCGC